CCACGGTAAATGGATGTCGGGAAAGTATGCATTTGATGATGCCTTAACAATTGCATGTGGGTTCTCTTGAATATTACGAACGTGGGGTCCGAGCTCAAGACCAGCTGTTCGAGCCTCTGCAGAACTGTTTAGGAAATAAGTCCAGACAGAGAATAGCCCATCAATGTCCCCTTCGTTTGCTCATACACCTGGCCATTGAAGTTGAAAAAGGTCTTAAGACACTGTTCGAGAAACTGAATGATATGCGCTCGTTTGAGCTGTTAGTCGGCCTCGTCATATCCTTACCGGAGAAAGCCGTCGACAGTGTCGAGAGCCAGTGCAGGTGGGATAGATATGCATAGCGAGATCACATAAAATACCACCACCACCTATCTGCTTTACTTCAAGATATTGGATGCGTATCAGAAATTCTTAAGCCGACTCCACTGTTCACCTATCCACTGTCCACTCGATGCCCGAACCCGTGGCCTTGTCAGTTAAAAGTCCAACGTGCTGACCACTGTACCACTGGTTCGTTGCCTTGTAATTGTGTATATTCCGATTGATGCCGACAAGGCCACGGATTCCAGCCTTATGGGTCACCATTCCTGGGCTGGGAATGGCTACCTGATGACAGCCAGTAAGCCAGCAATGACCATTCCGGCCTCCCTGGTATTTGTGTGTTCTATCTCATCATATCTTACGAGTCGCTAGGCGACTGTCTGCGCGGGCTCCATAGTGAACTTCAGGACAGCGGGACATTAGATGTTCCTTAACTAGGTCGATGGGCTCCCCATTTTCCGGATAACAGCCGACAAAACAACGGGCCCCTGACTCAATGGTAGAGTGCTACGCTCAATAACCGAAAGGTCCCGGATTCAAATCTCGGGTATTCCGCACTGGGTACTGGCGTGATTGGCTGATGACGGCTACTGAGTCACCATCCACCTCTTAGATCTCGCTGCCTCTGAGTTTTTGGAATCACAAGGCCTTATAGTACTGTTAACTTTCAACGTTCGTGTGAAATAATCCGTCTGAAATAGAGCACATTAAGATTAATTGGAGCCTTGGCCACCCTGGAGAGCGTTTGGTTGATGTTTTTGGAAATGCAGTGAGAATCAGTAATAGTGTATTATTTGGTTTTGTTGGATTGATTGATTAAACACTACATATCTTCTGAAAAACACCTGCCTTTTGTATTAGCTTACTCATAAGTGTGACATTTAATAATGCTTGCGACCAACAAGGCTCTTTGGTTTTTCATTGTAGAAAATGGCTTATTCTGTCGTCTTCTTTGGTAGCGATTACTTTTCGTTGGCACACATTATATTTCTTACTTCGGAAGATGGTCCCCTACGTGATATTTGCCGCGTCCGTCTTGTCATCTCGGGTTCCACAGAAACGCCCGTAACAAAGCACTGTGTGAACTCCGGCATACGTAAGTTTTTTTTATCTTTTTTTATGTTTCTGCTATTGTTTGGCGTAATCTTTGTTAGAGTATGTCAAGCGGTAACAGTTGCTGTTTCCGTTCAGTGGACCTGAATACTGAAAAGACTCTCTTTCTCACATTATTATGTATATCAACTTCCAGTAAGCAGTGTGGGCAGGCCAAACTGATATATTGGACAATCGACCCGATCGACACAGATTTCAAGCAGCCTGTTATGTTACTTCAAGGCAGTAATAGCAAATTGGTGTTTTTTATTCGTTGTATAACTGCTACCTAGGTTTTCCATTCACACTACTGACGAGTCACATTATTCAGATTGCCGATTAGGGCATCAGTGATGGTCGCATTGTATTGCAGTCGATAGACGGTCGATTTGGAGTCAATTTAGCATTCCATCCCAACAGCCCAAGTACTACAGCCCTATAGATTTAGAGAGTGTCAACGTTTGCTGTGTTACAGCGTGCAGAAACTGCGATAGGCTTTAACGGTGCGAACCAATCAGCCATCAGATTGCGTCATTGCAGGGACCAATCACGTTACAGCGTTCCGTCTCTTAAATAGCCATTCAAACCGATTTCATTGTCATATCGGCAAAGCACGCTGCTGAGCTGCTTTAATTCGTCAGGAGGGCACAAATAACATCCTGTGTTTCGGACTGACTATATAGTCATTCATCTAACATTTGAATCAAACCATCATAGATCGAAA